CAGCGGCGCGAACTTTGCTTGTGAAGCACTATTAGTAGGCTTCAATAAGATTGGTCCAGTTTCAGACCACTCAATCTCTTTTAACTTATCGACACACCGACGCACACGGGCCCGAAACCCGAGGTAGCCATCATCAACAACAAACGCCAGCATTTGTGGGCTTCCATAGCTGATTCTGCTGCTGCCGAAGAGCTCGCCCACCTTTATAGTCAATACAACAGCTAATGTTGCTGGTAGACTCAAGCTCATCGGAGATACGCTGCTTCAGGGTCCCACAAATGGTCCAATGCACACCTAAACTGCTAAAACACGCATACAATACCTTTAGAACTGATCAAGTACCAGAAGATAGCATCATTCAGCCCGTATCTTACCTGTAACGACTTCCCACTTCCCACAGCCTCCTGCGAGAAAACAGTTAGCCGACGAGAGATCTGAGAGCGCGCGACCAGTTCACAAGGCCGAGCTTCGGCTTGAGAGGCTGTGGGGCTCGACTTGACGTGCGCGAAGCGGGAGCGGAGGGGTGTCGAGCTGCGGCACGCTGCATACAACACGCCGGAAGGAAACAAGTGGCACAACAGTTAGTAGGCAAGGGCATCGCAGTAGTCCGCTTCGGGCGCGCTTCCTTTCGTCTTACTTCGCTTGTTTGTGGTTCTGAGTGCCACTCATTCGCCTCGGATTATTGGGGATTTGCAGCTGTAAAATTATTTTTAACCGGCTGGATTTAGCATCGAGAGCGAGCTGGAATTACGACAGAATAATGAGCGCAGAACAAGTGAAAGGCACAATATATTATAATACATATTAAATCGACCATTGAAGGAAACATCGAATTTGTTAGTCTGGATGCGCAGTAATATTATTAAAAATGTAATAATTTCCTGGAAGACCCTTGTGGATCTTTTGAAGCGTTGCCAAAAGCCTTCCAGACCCCGATAGGATCTGAGTTTTCTTCTCACTTTGCGATACTCCTACTGGAGCTCAAGACCAACTCTCATGTGGTGCGCCAAAAAGGGCTGTACGTTGTTCGACGTAGCTCAAACATCCACATGCTTATTTTGAGGTCGATCAGTTCACCATATTTGCAGTAGTGAGCATTGTAACGTCGAGGATGTATCTAAGTGGTACGACGATCTGCCTGTACCTATGAGCACACTATCACCGTCGTCTGATCGCTTGTGTCCTGAGTAGGTTTTGTAGCGACATCTGCGTTCGTACGTCCCGGAATGAAGGCGATGAACTGGACGAAAGCTCGTCTCTCAGTAGTCAAGTCATATCGGCTTCAAGCCAAGCTACAGAAATCATCCTTATCACTTTAAGTAATGACACAATTCAGAATCGTCCCACGGACGCGTCGGATTTCCTGACCCTATAACTTAAGCTCGACAGCCTCAAGGTCGTGGTGGCGTGTGGGATGCGGTTCACCTACCGGATATGCCAGTGAATATCGGCGGTAAGAAGTTCACGTGATGCTGCGTCATAAGTTGTGTTGTTTGCGAGAACTCGAATTCGGAATGCTCGGAATTCCCTCACTTTCCCCCACCTTGTGGTATAGTCAGATTTGCGTCGCAGTGCCCACCAGCATGACGTATCTAGGCACCATGGACCAAGGAGAGCAGGCACTACTCTCTCCAGCGTTTCCTATCGCTAGTTCGATTCAATTAGCTCACGCGTCTCCGCGATCAACGCGGCATGCCATAGGAACGCTAGCATCACAACGATCGCGTTCGCTTCCTCCTACCCAGTCATTTCATAAGACACCATCTTTCTCGACGAGACGCTTGCTACGCTGGTCTCCAAGATCTTAGCGAGGAGGTAGTACACTGGGCAGGCGCCAGCATGCTGCACCGTCAGGTAGTATAGCTTTTCCTGCATCGGTTCAGCGACCGTCTCGGGCCCTGAGATCTCCCCACCCATCCAAGGTCGCCAGTGAATTCGCGCTCTTTAAGGCATGATGATAGTCCAGCGCGTGCTCGGGGGTAGCGACAGTAGAGTTTCTTCAGTCATAGTAGCTTCACCTCGTTCCAAGGCAGACCGCACAGAAGACTCAATATGGACTCACTTTCAAGCACTGGACCAGAATCCCCCGTCCGTAATGTGTCTCCACTGCCACAAAATCACCGAAAGCCCGGCACCTGCGCGTTGCAAGATGGAATAAGTTCTTGAATGTCCAAATATGATACCAATGGATAAGCACTACCAACGCACCGTATACTTGGGACCTACGCATGCTGCAGAGCCAGCGACATCTCCTCAAACTGATATTGCATCAGGTCAAAATGCTCGAGGCAATGCATCTCAAATCGGCCAGGCAGAGTTTGAGATACTGCTAGCTCAAGTTTTATTTAGATGCGCTTTTACCTTGTGCATTAATCGAAGCTCCTGTGTTTCGTCTTCTTCTTGCAAGAATGGTCCCTCATTTTCGGTTGCCTTCATGAGCAAAACTTTCTGGAGATTTACTGGCGGAGAGCAGTGCCGCTCTAATGTGATCGAGACTATTTTGCGGCAAGAAGACAGTTTCGATTGCGACAGGCCGTTTGACCGACGTAAATGGATGCCGTATCGTTAATTCTCCTGGGATGCCTTCCATGCTCAGGTCATCATTGGCATGTGGAACTAA